GCCGCAAGGCCGGGGCCTATTACGACACTTGCTCGACTAGGAACTTTATTAGCCGCGCGTGCGTTGAGAGGCTGCGCTTACAGGGGCAAGTGCAGTGCCTGAGTCGACCTGTGGAGTCGACCTGTGCCAACAAACAGCGTATGGTAGTTAATGACTACCTCCATGATGTAGAGTGTGTTTTCCCGTACGCGGGAGGGGACTTGAGACATCGTGTCTCGTTCCTGGTGAGTGATGAGCTCCCAATGGACATGTTACTAGGTATGTACTACCTCTCTGTAGCACAGCCCCAGTTTGACTGGGACCGAAAAGTGGTCAAACACACGTTGCCAGGTGGAGGGACCGAAAAGCTAGTAGTCTGATTGAGTCCTATGGGTGCATGTGTGCGGCCGCATTCTATAATTATTATAAGCAAAATCAGGAGGAGGGTATGTACTTAGTTTATGTCTCTGCTGCAGGCGAGCCGGTGAAAATGCCGCTAGAGATAGAGGGAGTAGTTGCTAAGTACCCTGATCTATTTAAAGAGCCGACAAGGGGTTGTTGAGAGGGAGGTCGTCCACGCAATAGAGATTATCCCAGGGTCTAGTATTCCAAGGGGTAGGATCTATCGGATGTCTCCAGGCGAGCTTGATGAGCTTCGCCGCCAACTCAAGGAACTCGTAGAGAAGGGCTGGATCCGGCCGAGTGTCTCTCCTTATGGGTCTCCAGTTTTATTTGTGCCTAAGAAGAAGGAGGGAACCCTTAGGATGTGCATTGACTATAGGGGCCTCGATGCCATCACTGTCAAGAACAGAGAGCCCCTACCGCGCATCGACGATCTGCTAGATAGAGTGCAAGAGTGTCGGTACTTCAGCAAGATAGATCTGAAGTCCGGGTACCATCAGATTGCCATACGGCCCGAGGATCAACACAAAACCGCGTTTCAGACCAGGTACGGTCTGTACGAGTTTGTGGTGATGCCTTTTGGCCTTTGCAATGCTCCTGGCACCTTTCAGCACGCTATGAATCGGATATTCCATGACTACTTGGATAAGTTTGTCGTCGTGAACCTCGATGACATACTTATTTTCAGTAAGACTGTCGAGGAACATGTGGCACATCTGGACAAAGTCCTCGGCCTCCTGCGACAGCACAAGTTCAAGATCAACGGTGAGAAGTGCGAGTTTGGCCGCACCCGTGTCTTGTACTTGGATCATGAGATTTCTGCGGAGGGATTGAAGCCCGATGACGCGAAGGTGGCTAGCATTCGTGATTGGCGACGTCCTCAGTCTGTGACTGAGATGAGATCTTTCTTAGGAATGACAGGCTACTATAGGACTTTCGTTAAAAACTAGCATAGTGGCCGCCCCTTTGACTGATTTGACCCGCCTTGACACCCCTTGGGAGTGGACAGATAAGTGCGAGGCTGCTTTCAGACATCTGAAGCATGCACTGGCGCACTATGAAGTCTTGAAACTTCCTGATCCTGACAAGCCGTTTATAGTCACAACGGATGCCAGCCAATATGGCATCGACGCCGTGCTTGCGCAGCAGGAGGGGCCAAAGTTGAGGCCAGTAGAGTACATGTCCAAGAAAATGCGGTCTCAGAAGTTGGCTAAGTCCACTTATGAGAAGAAACTCTATGCGGTGTACAAGGCTCTCACCCATTGGAGACACTATCTCCTTGGGCGGTTCTTCATCCTCCGGACTGATCATCAGACCCTGAGATGGATGAGAACACAACCGGTACTCTCCGATGCTCTCAAGCGTTGGAACGAAGTCATTGAGCAATATGACTTTGACCCTCAGTATCTCAAAGGGGAGTACAACAAGGTTGCTGATGCCTTGTTGTGGAGACCGGACTTCTCAGGTGCGCTGATTACTGAGTTCGATCTGACGGACGATGTTACTCAGTCTTTGGTGGAAGCCTATCGTCAGGACCAGTTTATGTCTGAGATCATACGTAGACTTGAGGCGAAGGATAAGAAGACCTCCGCCGAGTTTGAGTTGGTCAATGGATTGCTGTTCCTAGAGAAGGCAGGGAATAAACGCTTGTGTGTTCCAAATAGCGAGTCTTTGCGCAGTTTGTTTTTAGGCGAGTGTCATGATGCCACCGGCCATTTTGGGTACAAGAAGACCGCAGCCAACTTGCTGCAGCGGTGCTGGTGGCCCACGATGATGAAAGATGCACAGCTGTACGTGGAAACTTGTCAAGTATGCCAAAGAGACAAGCCCCGTACTCAGGCTCCTCTTGGGCTGCTCAAGCCCCTTCCGATTCCGGAAAGGCCGGGTGAAAGTTTGTCCATGGACTTCATGGATACGCTGGTCACCAGCAAGAATGGGATGAGACAGATCTTTGTCATCGTGGATAGGTTTAGTAAGTTTGCTAGATTAATAGCTATGCCAGAAACAGCGAAGATCGAGTACGTGATCAGGCTATTTAAAGAGAACTGGGTTAGAGACTTTGGACTGCCGAAGTCTATAGTCAGTGACAGGGACGTCAGGTTCACGAGTGAATTGTCTAAGGCCGCTGCAGCTGTACAAGGAACTCAACTGCAGATGACTTCTGGAAATCATCCAGAAGCTAATGGCCAGGCTGAACAAATGAACCGCGTTGTGCAACACCTATTGAGGCACTACATCAAGCCCAATCAGGTAGACTGGGACGAAAAGCTTGCTCTAGTCGCCAGTCTATATAACAACGCTATACACAGTGCTATCGGGACGAGTCCTAACAGTCTACAACTGACATTCAAGCCTAGACTGCCCTTAGACTTCCTTCTTCCAGACAACCAGCCAACTGCTACACCGGGCACTTTAAAGTTCACCTATAGATATGAACAGAAGATGCAGGAGGCTGTAGAACACATGCAAAAGGCGCAGGCAGCAATGATAGAGTCTGAGAATAGACACCGCCGCCCTTCTACATTTCAGGTTGGGGACAGAGTCTGGGTCAAGTCTTCAGAACTGGGACAGGAGTTCGGGATATCCTGCAAACTCATGCCTCAGTTGGGAAGTTCTAGACGTAGTAGGGACAGATCCTGATGGTCCATCATATGTCATCCGTATCCCTGGTCATCTCAGAACTCACCCTGTCTTTCACGCCTCTAAGCTCGCTGCGTTCGAGGAAACTGATCAGTTTCCCTCTCGTCGGTCAATGCTGGCCCCAACCATGGACGGAGAAGTCGACATCGATGATATCGTCGACCACAGGGAGATGCCCGTTCAGAAGCCTCCAGGAAGGGGACGTCCTCCAAAGCCAAAACTGCAGTTCCGTGTTCGCTTCAGACATCACACGGATCCGAAAGAGGACCGCTGGTTTACTCGGGAGGAATTGATGCAGACCGCTCCTCAAATCGTTGCCCGCTATGAGAAGGATGTATTGAAAGGAAAGCGCCAGATGGCTCAAGATTGATCTTCCCAGAGGACTGACGAAGATATGGAGGAGGGAATGCGAGGCTACGCCCGCTCAGCCCCTACGGGGCCCTATTTGCAGCAAGGTCGGCCGCCCTAAGTGAAGGCAGGCACAACCGGCCCTTCGGGCCTCGTTTTTCTGGGTACCCCGTATTGGGGAAAATTCAGGCAGTTGCGCAGAGTGAACCCAGGCCTTGGGCCGCCTGTGTGAATGTACGAAGTACAGGCCCTGGGCTGGATTCAGGTACCAGGCCGAACACAGGCCGAAAGCAGTTGGGCGCATGCAACCACTTTAGGCCCAAGGCCTGTTTTCCTCGTGACTGGGCCTCAGGCTACCGGGTCCTACTGGAAGCTTGCTGGACTGGACGCAGGCAGGCCACTTCGATACAGGGAAGGGCCTGCCTCTCATTTCGGCATTCGGGTGCTGGCTGCATGCTGCGCGAGCGCTGCTGCGCTATCTGCTGGCTGGCTGGCACTCACGCTCTCACGGATGAGTAGGAGGGAGCACGCAGCCATAGCCAAGCTGCGCTGCTGTATCCTAGGTGAAGCGCAGGGTGGTCCTTGGGTGCTAGTGGCATCTGTGAGGTGTGGATCGGGGTTGTGAGTGTTACGAGACATACCTGGTGCTGAAGCGTGCGACTTTGGTCGCCATATGCTCGTACTTCGGGAACGCTGTTGATGTCATCATTCTGCTTCGTAGTATAGGCTAGATAGGACCTGCCACATGTAGTCAGGGCGCCAAGCGCCAATAGGATATCAACTCTGGTTCGTAGTTGATGATGATGGGACTACTTCAGCATTGTCAATTTTGAACTCTTGGTGTGTTCTTATT